GAGGAGGCCCCGGGGAAGACCCATGACACGCTGGAGGGACTATGTCTCTTGGCTGGCCTGGGAATGCCTCGGGATTCCCCCAGAGGAGCTGGATGAAGTGGCCGGGGAGAGGGAAGTCTGGGTTTCCCTGCTGAGACTGCTGCCCCCACGACCCAACCTCGGATAAGCGGGAGATAATGGATGGATGGATGCAGTGGCGGTTCTACACTGAATTGCTCCCCGGGCGAGACTCCCTCCCAGCGCCCCAAGCCACCCCCCAAAAAAAAAAAAAACATGACAAAACTTCACATTTTGTACACACCACACATTTTATTGTAGTAATACTACATGTCGTTCCGTAACAGACCAATTTTTGCAAAAAATAAACTACTCATAACTTAAATAAATATACTCTGTACAAACAAATATTATTTAAGAAAAAATATTTTTAATTATTAAGAATAATATGCAAATAAAATATAGAATAAATATAGAATAAATCACACTAAAGAAAATTTAATTATTTATTTCACTGCAGAACAGAACACACAAACTGAAACTAAAATCTGACATTTCTGGCCTTTCACTGGTTCATAATGGTATTTAATAGAAACCATTAGAATTTCTGTGATGGTTTGTATATTAGGCTTTTATTGTGTTTTGTTTTTTAGCAAGGTATGCATAGCAAGCATCATAAGCAAGAAGGTTAACAAACCTAAGAGTTAACGTCCCAGCCAACGCATCCATGTGGGGCCCGCATGGGATGCACTTGGGCTGACATGGGAAACCCAAGTGGGGCCCAGTCAATTTTGTCTGCAGTTTCCATGGTGGCCCCACATGGGTTAGCCCACATGGGCTAATGATGGACCCTTGATGGGCTCCATATACACTGAAAAAAAGAACATGTTGGATTTACTTAATTCAATAGTGGACAGTGGTTGTACAGAAATGTTTTGTTTTGGCAGCAACTTGAACAATTGAGTTAAAGTATTAATCTTTATTAACTCTAATAGTGTTTAATTTACACCATAAGGTAAGTCAATGAGTCTCCACCTCCAAACATCTGCCCCATTTTAATATGCGCACAAGTCATGAGGATCAGAAGAACCAGCCCAGATTTACCCACCATCATGAGAAAGATTCAGACCAACATAGCCTTTTCTCTTTTTATATAAGTTCCCCCCCAGTTCAGCTCTTTATACCCAAAGAACTGTGCTCATGTAAGTTGGAGTGTATTGAAAAGCTGTTGTTATAAATGTATTTATTCAAGCATCAATAAGGTGTCTTCAGTTATGGTATGGAAGAACCAGCTTTCTTGAGAACCATCTCTGGTATGAAAGGGCTGAGGAAAGGTTAGAGCTATCTTAATGGTCGAAGGAGTGTATTTCTGCTAAAGCATATATAATGTGTGGTGGC